GATACAGAAGATTAAACATGGTTTTTCACTTCGGTTATTCAAAAAATCTCCCTCCCCCTCGTCCTCTTCCGCGAATATTCATTTTGAAAGGGGGAGAGAATATTTTTTCAACCGACGAAGTAAAAATTCATGTTTATCCTCCTAAATTTTACTCCTGTCAATTGAAAATTCAATTTTTATGCTACCATTTTCTACTATACCGACTCTCAATTTTTACTATGTTCAACAGTAATTTTTCCACGAACTCCATCATATTTTAATTTCGTCAGCCGTATTTTTTTATCCCGCATGTCGTAATTTTCCTTTTGTTCTCAAAATTACTATGTTAAATAGTGAATTTTCTCAATTAAGAATTCCCATGTTTCCACAGTAAAAAATAAGTTCACATTCTGTCCGTGCACTGTCTTCAATCATTAATTTCCTGACTTGGATTCCAACACATAATGAAATCATTTTGCGTATCAAACGTCTCATTTTAATCAAAAAGGCTATCTCATCTCAATACACTCAAAATTTCGAGATTAAGACGTCTGCAAGACACTCCAGTGCATTTAACCGCCTCGTGGGGGGCATAACACGTTGAAATGTCAGCGAATATAAAAAGCCCTTCTTCCGCCACAATTATTCATCCGTAGAGCGTCAATTTCCGCGCAATATTCCCTCCACACAGAGCCGTTCCCCTCGGGCCACATTTTGTTGACCTCTTTGCCGATGAAAGCGATTCATCTTTCTTATCCACGAGCAAGTACAACTTGCAAGGTGTGTCAGCAGCAACACGACGAAAATCTCGGTAACATCTCTCCCTCCAACTATTTTAGACATGCACATTCCCGAATGTTTCTTTTAACCTCATAAATCCCCCAGCCATTCGAGAAAGATCGATTGATGTCATTATTCATCGTCGTAGCACCTGTAAACGCAAATCATTCTACCGTCAAGGCCGATTTGTCGATGAAATTGATAGCATTGTCCCGGGCATTCCTCAACGTCATCAGAAACCCCAAGAAGTAGAACGATTTTAGCATGATTATCCGTAATCTCGAACTCGCTATTCCGCTGAGTTTCAGTGGAACGTGGCGTCAAACTTTTGTTGCAACTTTCATAAAAATTTGTATTTGACCTGGAAGGAAATCTTCAAAAGAATTTTCACGGTGAAACTTAATTACATGGCTCCGGCGGAACGAAAAATCCAAAGTTTGCGGACCTTCGAGTGTTTCTTCGCTAAATTCTCGTACCGTTATAATTTGCGAGGAATCCCTTTCGGCTTGGTTGTTTTACTCTGGAGCCTCGGAGCAGCCTTTGCTTCTGGCTGGTTTTTTGGTCCAGATAACCTTTTGTCCACAATGCGCGGGTCCGATTGGTTCAATTGTTGGGAGTAACAACAAAATTAGAAAAAAAAAATTGTGAAAAGTAGAAGTCTTGAGTGGAAGAACTAATGTCTTGAGGACATCGTTATTTGAGATATTGGATCAGACACAAAAATGTAGCTTATCAGTTACTCTCAAAAACTAAACACGATCATAATAGAACTGTCACACGATAGGAACAGTTTTGATTTCACACTTGACTGGAGAATACCCTGAAAACACTTTTTCCCAAGGTAATATTCTTCAAATACTTGTCGTCTTTAATGATTAGTCTATAATAATTCTTGTAGAATTATTTTCTTATTGTGGGGACATAGTCATTCTTAATATGAGAAATAGAATGCTCGCCAGACTCGAAAATTAAGCATTTAACAAAGTAATTTTGAGATCAAATGAAAAACTACCACGTGCTGGATGAAAAAATACGGCTGACAAAATTAAAATATGATGGAGTCTATTGGAAAAATTACTGTTGAACATAGTAAAAATTGAGAGTTGGTATAATAGAAAATGGTAGCATAAAAGTTGAATTTTCAATTGACACGAGTCAAATTTAGGAGGATAAACATGAATTTTTACTTCGTCGGTTAAAAAAATATTCTCTCCCCCTTTCAAAATGAATATTCGCGGAAGAGGACGAGGGAGAGGGGGATTTTTTGAATAACCCAAGTGAAAAACCATATTTAATCTTCTTTGTCATCCTTGCAAATTATTATCAATAATTTTGCTCCACGTATATTCATTCTGAAAAAGAGGAGTGGGGAGAGGAAGGATTGAATATTTTAGAATTATAGAATCCGCCACGCGGGCCATTGCGTGGTCGACGGAGGGAGGAGATTCCAAAAATTGAAAACAATCGACGCTCTCGTCGTCCGCTGGAGTTTTTACTAGTCAACATAGTAATTTCTGATATTTCCTTTCTGATATTTCCTAAGAAAAAATTACAATTTAACATAGTAAAAATTTATACGATTTGAGTAATTTCTCGTCGGTCAATTGTAAAAATTGGTAAAAAAAATGAAGCGTTTTTAACACTTTTGCAAATTATTTTTTCGTCCCTGCATTTTATAATGTTTTGTCTCTGAATTTCACATCGCAAATGTTAATTTAAAATATTTTATATTGTCTTCTTGTCCTTCATATCGCAGAATACATTCACATTAAATAAAACATTTCCAAAAAAAATTCCAAGATAACAAATCCTACGATATAACCCTTACAAAGCACAGTATACTGAAACTCCTTTCATCTCTTCCACTTGCCGGAAAAATAATTGGGCAAAACTCGATGAAAAGATCCCCCTCACATCAATATAATTATCCACACCAATTGAGAAAACCCCTCAAAGCAATTGATATGTCTGCCCTCCTGAATAATAATTGGCACGACTTCCCACATTACATTCCAAATACGCAAAAAAAACATTCTCCCAAATCTACCTCTTCCTTCCCCACATCCATCAGCTACAACCCAGCGGGAAATTATTCTAAATTGTCCTCCGACATCCATAATTATCCCTCAATTATCTTTAACATAACATTTGTATTTGAACTGGGTCACACAAACGAATAATAAAAAACAAGAAAGACCTCGTCGGGAGTTATAATTTAGCCACAGTATAAACCGGGCTAGCAGGAAGCGACCCAATTCCCCGAAGAAAGCACAAAGTATATAAGCACGGGAAGTGCAGTAATGAGCTTCCCCCAAGAAATAGAAAGGGAGAAAAAGGAGGCGAAGTAGATGAGAAAGAAGGCGAAGTAAATTTCAGACGGGTAGGGTTTGAATAGCGAGTGAAAAGCACCGAATTGCATACAGAGTGCACATTGCGATGGGCCTCGGCGTCTCGGAAAAATAAAACCGTAGGGTATAGCCGGAAATTATGTCGTTGAAGGACGCCAGCACAGAATAGCGGAGGTTTTTCCCCGCCACTAGTGAACAGCCATAGGCAAATAACGCCTTATTCCTGGAGTCTGTCGTTTTTTTGACTCCTTCTATAAACGCAAGGGCTTGGATGGGCGCAAAAGTTTATGCTCGAGGGGGCGAATGAGCTTTCGCTGTCTCGGGAGAACCGAGAGATACCAAAAATTGCACCAAGGAGACATTTCAAACCGAGGGGCTATTCACAGGCCCAATCGTGGTGTCACTCGCTGATGTAATCAATTGTAATCCCAGTGAAATCAATGTAATCATTGTAATCACATGATTACCATATTTGTAATCAAGTTTTGGTAATCAAGTGGTAATCATTTGTAATCACTGTAATCATTTATAATCAGTGTAATCTTTCGTGGCTGCTCCTAGTGAGACCGGGAATTTTGTTTTTGAATTTTCCAGCGCGTCATTTCTACCAACGGTAAGTCTCAGAGATCTCTGGATCAATTTTTCTTGGAATCCCAGATGTTTATGGTTCAGAAGCTTGCATAGCCAATGCGTTTTGCACAGAGAATTTGTCCGTAGAAAATTGATTCAACAGAGTTGAAATTTCTTCTTATTCTGGAGAACCAACGACTGAATTATCTCTGAATTATCTGCTGGCAAGTTTCATTCTCCATCAATGGTAGATATTCACTAAATTTATTTCGCTGATAGCACTTATAAATGCTCAAATTTTTAGATGGAGTGATGGAGACTGCCTTCCTGTTCTAATCCTCGCCCCTCCTTCCTCATTTCTTTGCAAGTTCTAATAATTAATTATTCCATCAATTCATATTTAATAAGAGGCAATTTTTTGTGATTTCAATGATTACAGATGTTTGGTAATCGCAGAATGTAATCGACGAAATCATTTGTAATCATGTAATTATATTCTGTGCTCTTGGTCATCACGGTTATCACATAGGTAATGGTAATCAGTGTAGTCAGTCCCGTAATCCTGGGTAATCGATTACATTTTGTAATCGCGGTGTCATCCAATTCACCTGTGAATAGCCCCTCGTTTCAACCTGTTTCTCGTAGTAGGTATGGCCCGTCGAGGGCCATGCACATCTTGGGGTAAAAAGATCTATGTGCTAACGCTGCCGGAACCATCAGGAAGCTTAAATTCTTGATCAGGAAACTCAAATCCTACAGCCGGAAATTGTCATTCAAGTGCCCTCCTCCCACTAACGAATAGCCATGTTTGTTGTCTTTTTGTTTTTCTGCTGGATGAGCACAAAAGTTTATGTTCGAAGGGGCGAATGAGCTTTCAGTGTCTCGGGAGAACCGAAAGATGCTGAAAATTGCGCCAAGACATTTCAACCCGTTTCACCTCCTATTTCTCTAGCTCGCGCGGGTTTTCCTATAAATTCTCTCACTCGTTATTTTCCAGGTTATGACCGTGTAGTAGGTATGGCCCGTCGAGGGCCATGCACACCTTGGGGTGAAAAGATGTATGTGCTAACGCTCGCCGGAACCATCAGGAAACTTAAATCCTTGAGCGATATCTTGCTCGCTAATTTGCATGTAAACTGCCCGTAGAGTCATGCGCGCACCACTTTGCCCCGTGGCTCACAGCCCAATCCGTATTTAACGTTTATGTCTAAACTTGGGGCAAATTGCATGGCCCCAGACGACCCGGTATCTCCTTTTTCCATGCCTCTATACCCCCGGCACACGCCTTGTGTTTCTTTCAAAGACTACATTATTTATACTTACAATCAGCCTTGTTGGTGCGCTTTACTTCTTAAGGATGACTTTTTTACTTCTTGTTGGCACAGGTCGATCGGCAGACGAGCTTCACCCTGAGTTTTCTGCAAAGTAAAAGGAAAATGTTAGCGTTTAGGGTTGTAGTAGTCGTCTGTTACTCGTTTTTTACAATCTCATTCTGCTTTCTTTACTCTGTGCCATTGGCTTTTGTTTCTTCCCGTTCATTTCTTTTTTACTTTAGTTTTTATCTTGAAGGAAAGAACAGTCCGGGAGGTATTGCTCCTCCAGTGAATTTGATAGAACAGTGAATCGAAAGACATAAAGCGAATGTTGCTCGCGCTTTTTCTTTCCTATTTTCCTTCGGCTTCGGGATTTACAAAGAGCCATGGTTAACATGGACAGTCGAAGACATTGTGATCCCTTCTCTAGTCTATTCTCCTGGAGATCGATTACGCTTCGCCGTAAGGAGACAGCCGAGATTTAAGGACCTTTGAAAATTTCGTGACTATTCACTTATTAATGGAGAATAAAATTGGAGAAAAATTACGAAACAAGTCGAGTAATTGTGGAGCGCAATCGATTTTCAGTACTTTTTTACTCTGTATCGGCGAAAAAGTACAAGAAAAAAATACCCTATCGGTGTGGGAAATTTTACTGTACATGAGGATAATTTTTGCATTCTCAGATGTATTTTTTACCGAACGAATCGTAAAATACCCGCCACAAACAGGTATTTTTTCACTGAATTACATTTCGCTCCACGATTACCTTTCGCACAGTAAAATTTGCCACGATTTTCTAGGTAATTTGTATCCAACTTTTCTCTCCGTGTAGTGTTTTCTTGCGGAAGCAACTGAATAAGACCTTATTAAACCATAAAATTAACTTTGATCCATTTAAATTGGAATTCCAAGACAGACCTCTTTGAATCATTCCCCCGAGTCATGCCTTTTTTTCTAGATGTAGAGATACAGATGTAGTCGTTGGTGTTTGTATTCGGCTACTGCGCCACCTTGCGGTGGCGTCTTTGTACTCAGGTTGTCATAACCTCCCTAACTGACATCCCATACCCAATAAATTTTCTTGAAATACAAAACTAGTGATGAGTGGATTTTAATATTATTGTAATCATTACTGAAAAACACTCCGAATAGTTGCAATTTCACCCCTTGAATCCACCTGTCCAATGGACTCACCCCCATGACCGTCAGATGAGTGCAAGAAAAAAAAACCCTAGCGATGTGAGAAATTTAACTTTACAAGAGGATAATTTTTAGATCCATAGATGTATTTTTTTTTACGTTACATTTCGCTTCAGGGATTACCTTTCGTACAGTAAAATTTGCCACGTCTTTCTAGGTAATTTTTATTCAACTTTTTTCTTCGGGAAGCAATTGATAATAATGAAGCCAAAGAACAAGCAGATACTGATGCCAAGGACATCAGAGAATAGTGAAAAAAGAAAGAAATGTAAATAAAAAACAATGAAATCAGAGAGTGGCGGTATCAGTCATGTGTCACTCATCAAGAAACGGGCGTTTAGAAAAATCGTTAATATGACGGAATATCTTGGTAATGGAAGTGCATCAAGAGGAAGTTATAAACCGGTAAGTAGGATTAATAAGGGGAAACGAGCGGAAATGGGAATGTACACTCTGTTGAATTTGCAACGTTAATTGGAGATCGCTGGGGGTAAACGAATCCTCCAATATATTCAAAAAACTTCAGGCTTTCAGATTCTGAAAAGGGATAGGGACGGATGAATCAAAGTGAAACAACGGTATTTTTTGTGGAAATTCCTGGCACACTTCTTGGAAATGTTTATCCTAATAAATATATTTAAAAATATAATATATTCATTATACCATATAATTTATATATTATAGTATATTCACGTTATAATATTTTTTAAAATATATTTTTCGCGGAATTTGTATTTTCATTTTCATTTTTAAATTATTAGAAATCAGAGAAATTCAGTGGAATCTAAAATTCCATTTTTTTTCTCCCTAAATTGAATTCAATATCACTCTCCTGACCATCACTAATCAACAGTCCATGACATTTCAACTTCTTTCTAAAGGTCTGATGTTAGTCACAGTTATCTGAGAATTTTCAAATTTTCAAATAAATAACAAATTACGAAATAATTGCAAAACCTCACTTTGAATTTATCCTCAATTTGGCATAAATAATCAAATAAAACTGAAAAAATCGGAAAACAGGTTTTGAATTATTTTGATCATGAGCCTGTTTCAATATGGAAGAAAGGCAAACACTCATTTCAGTTCGTTGTCATCCTCTACAGCAACCGTATCCCATATAATTGAAAACGTTGTATCCATGAATCATAGAAATACAGCCTTTATAAGGCGCACATCACCGCGAACTCATATTTCACTGGTAGCGAAAAATTTGCTGGATGAAATGAAATGTATATCCACGTGTTCAGAATCTCACGAAGCTCTAGAATAAATTCTGGATAAAAAGATCGAAGCCAAACTACTTCTATTCACCTGCTTACGATAAAATCCCGAGAGACACGTAGCCTTTTCCCAAGGGGACCGTGAATATTTTTCCTCATTCAGCGTTGGCTTCAAACTTCTTGAATTCGATATTTAAAGGAATAAAGATATTAAGATTATGCCTGTAAAGACATTCAACAAGACGGCAACCGTCTCCGAAGGAAAAGTAATATTTCACTTCCTTTTCAACGCGGCTTTGGCGCCCCCGGGAATGCTTTTGATGGACATTGCACGGACGTTTAATTACGAAACTGTCAGAATGCCCGTGCGGGTTATTGAGATAGCATTCGCGCTATCATTTCTAGAAAAGCTAATCAGGTTTCTATGCACAGAATCGTAAGGAGTAAATATTATCATTTTCCTCTGTTAGAATATCTCCGCGAATGTATCCCATTGTTTGTAGGAAATAGGACGTTTCCCGGTGTTGGAAGGCAGTCCTGCGCGAGAACTTTTTGCAAATCCTTTAGCCATTAACATTATATTCTTTGAACGAGCGCTTGTTATTTCCACATCAAGCAGTTCAGATTGCTGTGACATCAACGAAATCTCCATAAAATCGTAATAAGTCACATTTCTGGGCTTGAACAGGAACTAACAGACGTGTGCAATATGCCAAAGGATTCCACCAATCATCATAATAAATTGACAATCCGGAAATCTGAACCAAGTTCATCGGATAAACTGAAATACTTCAAAGCTACAGTTCCTGGAGTACCTTTTGAAGACACAATTTTCCCGGAAGACATGTCGTGTCTTCAATCCAAATATATAATATAATACATCAGAATGCTTTCTGCAAATCCTTTAGCTATTAAAATGATATCTATCAGACGTGCGCTTGTTATTTCGACATCAAGCAGTTCAGCTTACTGTGACATCAACGAAATCTCCATAAAATCGTAATAAATCACATTTCCGGGCTTGAAAAGAAACTAACGGACGTATGCAACATGCCAAGGGCTTCCACCAATCATCATAATAAATTGACAATCCCAAAACCTGAACCAAGTTCATCAGATAAACTGGAATACTTCAAAGCTACAGTTCCTGGAGTACCTCTCGAGGACGCAATTTTCCCGGAAGACATGTCGAGCCCTCAAACCAAGTGTGTGACCCTGTTAAACCCGTGAAAATGTCGCCAAGGTAAGACGCCCAAGGGTGATCAACCCGGCCCATCCTCAATGAAGATGATTCCCATTCCGAACCGTTGACAGTGCAAACCCCTCTCGCTACAATACACCCCAAACCGTTTAATTGGAGAGAATTGTGCGAACCGGTGTTACTAATTTGCGCACCAAATACAATTTCCCCTCACAGCGGTACAAATAGCATCAGTGCCTCCATTTAATTATGCATTAGAAACTCTTTGGGTTGGATAATATTTAATGAGATTACCGATGATTATACGATAGTTTTGAACGCCAACCATTCGACAAATAGAATTATTCAGCATGAAAGACAGAGACAGGTACTTGAAACAGCTGAAGTGGTGGTGGAATGCGATAAGGTACCGGTCGGAAGAGGAAACTCAAAGTGGACATTAATGACCAGATCCAGACCACCACGTACACATGCATTTGGATGCTAGGGTACATGCATTAATCGCCCAGTCCTCCCCCGCTTGTGCTCTCTCTCGCTCATATGACAGGGAATTTATCGACACTGAGGTCAAAGTCTTCTCAAACGAAATTATGTTTCCGAACCGTGACCCGAACTCTCTCGCGAATTCCTGAAGATTCTGATTTATGATTTTAACGCGAACAACGTTCAACAATTCAACGGAAAAAACCCGACAATGTGCTGTCGAACCTTTGATAGACTCGGGAAATCATTCAGCCATGGAAAATATAGATGATGGCGAAATGGTTTACAGGATTTGGTCGGACGTGACAGGGCGATCTGAGAGGAGGAAGTCGGCAGCAGTTTTTAGAGCGATTTTATTGAGCCAGTGCGGAACGAGTCGGGGTTTGATGGTGCAAAAACTGTGAGGCGAAGATAAGGTTCGGCTCATGCTGCAGTGGACGATAAGTCGTTATTGGTGTTGTGTAATATTGGGGTGTCCCGCTTACGCAGTCATGACACGGATAGCCTCGGGAGGATTTGATATTCAACGTTGCAATCTGTTTGGAAGGTATCCTTGGAGGGTATTGCAGGATTTCAGAGATGATTCCATCTGTTGCGGACCTGTGAGACTATAAGCAAGAATCCTGGAAATTACAAGCTAGTGGCGAGTTGAGTTTGGAATACATAAATTAGCCTTCTACACTGAGGAAAAAAATTTCTAATATCTAAAACATATTTTCTTGAGACAAATAATTTTTCTTCAATTGCTCAATTCTACCAGACATCTCAACTCATGTGGCCCGAGGAAGATCTCATGCTTTAAAATATTTTTGTACTCAAGTATGATTTTGTCGCAAATGAACTCACTAAAATCGCGTAGAAGAATCGCCAATCGTCAAGTATTTATTGTTTTCATAATTTTTTTGTTATGCAATTCCACTATTTCGATATGTAATATATTCATGATATGATGCGCACTGATAGTGATAAATGAGAATTCATTCGAGTTCCGTGAA